CCAAAACTATTATTTTTACATGTAATTGATGTTTTTTAATAAAATTATGTTTTTAATAACATTTTACTATTATTTTTAAACTACCTTAAAATTTTAATCTAAAGAAAATATAACTACAAAAAATTCCACGCGGACCAGGCAGCAGACGGGAGCGGGTGCAGGTACGAGTCCCGTCTGCTGCCTGGTCTGCCTGGATTTTTTTTCATCAAGCAGTTACATGGTTTAAAATTATAAAAATTATACCTTAAATTTTTTTAAATCGGTCAAATTATTTACCAACATATTTCATTTTTTTGAAGCTTCAAGTTCTAAGTACGTCCCATTTACAGTACTTTTGACATCTAGTGTTAGATAGCTGAACTACTACGTAGTAACATAAATAGCAACCTAAGCTAGTAGTTTTGCTATTAGCCGATAGATGAAATATTGAGAAGTGGGCGGAGCTGAACACCCCGCATCCCGCAAATTATCACGCGTCGTTTCTTGAGGAAATTTAATTACCACACCTCCTCTTTGTTTTTCCTCCGTGTAGTCACCAAATCAATGTTTGTTAATTTAAAGCATTTATAGTTAATTTCGTTTTAAAACTTGCTATGAACTAACTATTTTTGATATAATGTTTGTAATAATGAAATGCATAGTTGGTTGCGCTGCATATTCGTTTCGTGCAGGCAATATTTTTATCCTTCTGTTAACAGCGCTTTCAAAATTAAGATCAACAGTCATAAAATAAAGTTTGCAGCAGTCGTTAATTTTTTTAATTTCAACGTTTGCATTGATATTTGGACCTTATATTCAATCTCTCAGCAACGCTATTCTGTCCCGGGTTGTCATCTGTGATAGTTTTCGGATTTTTCCGCGGTGGACCACCAAGAGGTTTTATGCCCCTAGTTCTTTGTTTTGTGTTGATGTTGAGCACAGTTTTCACGGAGTAGTTTTTTTCTCGCCTCATAAAATGGCCATACCATCTGAGCCTGCCCTCTTTCACAAAAAGAAATACGTGTAAATAAGGAAATACGTGTACTAAAATAGAATCCCATTTATCGATATTGCAGTAGGTACACGGTCATAGTTATTGAGTACCAGCCACTGTTCATTGTATCACGGAGCAGTAAGCAGATTAAACGTACATTAACAATCTAATGATTGTTTCTTACACGTTTCTCATTATATGAATGCGTATTGATATCTTTAAATATAAATCAATAAATATTACTGACGACCGATTGATTCAACAGCGATTTCCTGGTTCGAATCCCGGTACACATTTTTTTATGTGATAAGCCAACAGAGCACCCCTGCTAGAGTAGGGACGGCATACAAGTGCACCCGATTGCGCCAAGCCTAGGTGTACAGACGCCTTCCGATTATGGAGTGCGGAAAATAGATGCCGTACGTCCGGTACTAGCTCAATAGTATAGAAGGCAGTATGGGTGTCTCACCTTCCGGTTAGTGCAGGCAGTGCCATCTTTGACCTATTGGAGGCCCTTGGCATATTAGGATAATGGGGCCCCTATGACTTCCGTTTGGTGATTTAACAGGAACTAGGGACTTTGTATTTGATTTGATATTTTTTGTGGAAAACATTTGAGACACATTAACTGAAAAATAATCAGTGCCCTTATACAAATTTCTTGTTCTTGTTATATTTATCTGTTTTATTGTGTGTGTACTAAATTAGTAAATAAATAAAAAAATAACTGACACGTCGTTGTGGTAAACCAATTGAACAGGACAAATATTTATCTAATTGAGCGTTATGTTGGATGCTATCAGTGCCTAGGATAATGGGGCCCCTATGACTTCTGTTCGGTGATTTAACAGGAACTAGGGACTTTGTATTTGATCTGAGGGGCCCCCCTATCGATCGCGGGGCCCTGGGCACTTGCCCAAAGTGCCCACTGGGAAAGATGGGTCTGGGTGCAGGTGTTGTCGGGGCACGGGTGTTTCGGTGACTACCTGGTCTGGATTCGGAGGAAGACTGCTCACACATAACTGTGGCGCGCCTGCCCTACCCACAAGGCCCTTTAAGGCGCTTTGCAGACGACGGGGCGAGGCGGGCTTTTTGTCCGCGAAGCAATAAAAACCGCGTCTGCCCGTCGATGTCTGCGGCTGCCCGCGCCGCGTACACAAAGCACACGATGGGCAGAGACAGTCAGTTCAGGACGTTCGTTCTAGTGAATAGTCCATCACTAAAAAGCGCATGGCGCGGACTGAGCTAGCCGCCCCGCGCCGCGCCGGCCGTCTGCGTTACTGCATATAATTATAGTTTGTATGATCCACGGCGGGCAGCCGCGGTCATGCCGCGCCACCACTGCCCGCCGGGCACCCGCGGCGCGGTCTTTTTGCCCTCTGTGTGCGTTTGTAGTATAGGATTCACTTTGTGCTATCGTTCGCGGCGAAATTGACCGGCTCGCTCGGCCCCGCCGTCTACAAAGCGCCTTAACCTCATTCTGTGTACTTTGCTCCCTCCCCTCCTCAAACGCAGTAAATTAAACACTGACATCAAAGCTACACCATAATGTTTGGACACTGAGATATTTTTTGTAAAGCATTTGGAACCTGAAACTATCCTAAAACCCGTTTCAGGGTTAAGGTAAAAAAACGAATCGAAAATGCCGACGCAAGACGTTCATCTCTTTCGCGCGTTACTTAGGACAGTGAGAGAAACAGAATGTCTTACGTCGTAATTTGCGATTAGTTTTTTTTTATTGGCGAGATTTATACAATACTAGCTGTGCCCCGCGGTTTTACGGATATTTTCCCGCAGTAAAACGTAGCCTATGTGTTAATCCGGGGTGTCAGCTAACTCCATACCATATTAAAATCGCTCCAGTCGTTCAGACGTGAAGAAATAACAAACATACACACTCACAAACCTTTGCCTCTATAATATTAAGTGTGATACAATATATACACCAGTGTTGGGCGTAATTAATTACTTTTGTAATTTTATTACTAATTCAATGAATAGTAATTGAATTACTTTGATTGAAATTACATGTATTTGAAATTACTGTAATTCAATTACTTACGTCCGAAGTAATTTAAATTACATTAGTTTGTAATTCATATTACTCGATTACTTTTTAAGTAACATAATAAACTACTAAAATTGAGCGGTTATTAGCTTGATACCCGTACGCAGCACAACAAGCACAACACAAAGTTTTAGTGTATAATTTGCCATGAATTCATGAGTGTGTAAGTGCCAGTACCTACACAGGTACCTATCCCTTTTCTAGTCCCTCGGCGGCGTGCACCTTTATTTCGATTGATTGTTCTCATATGCTACAAAGATTAACTTACCAAAATCTTACAAACTTTCTGATCAAATGTTTGAACAAAGAGTAGTATTAATGTCTAATTTAAAATAAATTAAACATTTATTGTCTTAATTTTAAAAAAGGTGGTTATAATTACACAATTTATCTGACCTATTTCGTAAATAAACATTTGATAAATCATAATATAATAGTTTTATTTAAAATACTACCTAGTCTTTAAAAGAGATTATATAAGTAATTGAGTAATTGCAATTAACAATTACAATTGTTAATTGAATTCCATTTCAATAATTTCAAGTAATTTGTAATTAAAGTTACCAATTACAATTTGTAATTGAAATTGTTAATTTGAAGTTAATTACATTTTGCGCAACACTAATATACACCTGAATGAACCTGTCGGCCCACTTAGTGTCTTCATTGGTCTAGTAAAAATATATGTTTAAAGTTGAGCAATAATTTTAAAAATACACGAAAACGTGGTTAATGTATCAGCTTCAAAACTGCATAGGTAGGTAGCTTACCAATTACAGCATTATAGCGCATTATGCGGCATAATGCTTAACGTTGAGTGTTCCAACTACAGCAACGCTTCGCACAATTGAGCACTCTCAAAAGTGATGCTTTCGTGTGATGCGTGCCAACTTAGAGACAGAAAATTAACAAGTGTTTTTTCTTTAAGTTGGCATTGATCAAAATGTTTTATTTATATGTTATCGTTAGTAATATCATTTATTGTTGAAAAATTATTAAAACTTTCGTTTCATCATAGTTTTTTTTTAAATAATCAAAGTTAATTCAAGCTGTGTTAAAAATTATATATTAATATGGATGAAGGTACAACCATTGACTTTTATTTTCAACACTGAACTTAGCGCACTCCGCTGGTGCATTTGAAAACTAATTCACGTTCCAATTAAGCATCAGCATAATTCGGCATTGTGCGGCACTGAGTCGCATTATGCTCTGTAATTGGAAAGCAACCGTAATAACTTTTTGCTCAATGTAACATTTATTTTTAGCTAGGGACCGTCAAAATTAAATACCAGGTGCGCCTATAGATGTGTCCGGTACCCCTAGCATTAACCATTATCGAATTCGAATAGTTTGCGAGTCCGAAATGTCATTGTCATATGTGTACTGATTTTTAGTTCTCGTTACGTAATTTGTGGCGCTCAATCAATCAATTTATTTGTTCAAATATGAGTACATAATTTGGTGTTACATAATTATAATGTCCATTCATATTTCACCCTATATGGGTGTGAAACCAATTAGGTACCGTATATCTACAAAATCGAAAATTGTCACATAACAGTAATTGTACTTAAAAAAGATTAAAATTGTGATTAAACCGCTTCTGTTCAAGTTTTCATACAAAATTTGACAATGACATTTCGGCCTCGCATACTATTCGAATTCGATAATGGTTCGTGCTAAGGGTACACAAGTGTTTTATCAGACGTCAATAAAATGTTATATGTAGTCAACTTGAAAGTGTATAAAGTGGTAAATGAGTGGCTCCCATACACATATAAACCTTAACAGGTTTTCGTGCATGGTTTTAATTTGTATGTGTATGATTCTATTTGATAATAAAATAAATAAATAAATGTATTAAGCCTCGTTCTCCACGGGATCACAAACGTAAAACACTGAGAAAAGTATTTTTTATTCAAGTGTTCGAGATTGAAATAATAATACATGGCAATATTCAAATTTCTATTTATTCATTTATTTATACATAAATATTTCTAAAAATGCGTGATGCTCCTATATTATTTAGTCTTGGAACTCGGCGTTGGAAGGCTATTGGTCATACTGAAACAATGACAGAAAAGATATTAGCTATATATTTTTTAATCATTTACTGATACATGTTTAAAAATAAAAATAAAAGACTAGAATAAATTCCACGCGGTCAGGCTGCAGACGGGACTCGAACCCACACCCTTCACATTGTGTCTACCTACCGTCTACTGCTTGGTCCGCGTGGAATTTTTACTAGTAACATTTTCTTTATATTGAGACATCTAGCAGTTAAATACTTAAAAAATAAGCATATAACTTTAAACACAATTTTGATAATTTTATTGATAATGAAGAATATTTATTTTAATTTATATTTATTTATAACGAGCTCTCTAAAGCACATTGCTATGCCCTGACTATACCCTATGGATTCGTGTAAGGAACTTAATAAATATTTTAATTTATTATACGGCAATAAAAATAAATAAATATTTCCAACACCAATTAGCCCAGCCCCAAAGTAAACAATGTAAAGCTTGTGTTACGGGATACTAGGGTAACGGACAGAATACATATATAAATATATTTATATAGAAATCCATATTAAACATCCATGACTGGAGAACAAATACTCGTATTCATCACACAATCATCTTCCCCCACCGGGATTCGAAACAGGGACCTCTCGATTAGGCGACTCCTTGAAACACGGCGTACAAAACACTCGACCACGGAGGTCGTCAAAACAATTAAATAAAAAAAACGACTGGTTACACTCCGGGAGTGCCGGCAGAAGTGAGAACTTGAATATTAACGTTGTGCATTTTTGATATTTTGGAATGGTTAGGGAATAATTTTGCACGAATTTCTTTAACTATCAGTATAAAAGTACTATCATTTATGTGGTAGAATACAATATTTATTTATTGCGCTATCGTACACAAACACAATAATTTATATTATATTAAAAAGTTTATCTCTCAGAATAACTCATTTAAGCGCACCTAGCGACATCTATTGTAAAAAAATGCATTTTCTTCGCAATAAAGCTGACACCTGGACGTCCTAGATACAGACTTATTATTATAATACGGTAAAATAAAATATTACTATGTTTCGTCTAATATATTGACAGTCGACAACCTTTTCAATTTTATTGTGTGTCATGATGCGATCAGCCCAAGTGTTTAACCTGACGCGAGTTTAACATTTTTTACCCATACAAAAAAAGTGTACAACGCGGCTAAAGAAGTTTTCACTTCAAAAAATATGAATAGGGATGATGACTAATTTTTTTTTCTTCGTTTATCAGGTAGATTATCAAAAAGTATTGGACACGTATTTTTTCTTTTTTCACATAATATAAACATTGCAGAGATATATTGATTTGAAAAGTCGCATGACGTCACTTTTGAGTACACTTATAAGTGAAAATTCACTCAAAAGTGACGTCACGAGCCCCTACTCCCAAACTTTGACGTATTTTGGTTGATTGCCCAAAGAAAAAAAATGGGTGCGTGTACTTATGTAGGCGCGTGAGAAGTTATCCTTCTTTGGCATCGTTTAAAATTAGTTTTTAATTGCATGCAAATAATTAATTACAATAAATTAATTAAAAGTCTGGAAAAGGACACAGTCAATAAAGTTCAGTTTTAATTAGAAAAAATAAATAAATAATCAAAATATTCAATTAAAATCGCTACTGAATATAATTTATTAGAACATATGTGATTTGCACTTGTATGAAACTCAAACACGTATTCCGAATATACAAACTAGAAACATGTGGATAATTATTATAAATATGAATACCTATAACTGTTACTTTATTACAAAAAATAAAGATGTGGTTTTTGGTTCTACTACACCAATGGTCAAGAGATGGCGCTGTAGTCTCCTGAATCGCGCTTTGGTTCCGTTGTTCCAGATTAATAAATACTTTTGATGTTATAAATATGAATACCTATAACTGTTACTTTATTACAAAAAATAAAGATGTGGTTTTTGGTTCTACTACACGAATGGTCAAGAGATGGCGCTGTAGTCTCCTGAATCGCGCTTTGGTTCCGTTGTTCCAGATTAATAAATACTTTTGATAGGCCTTCACAATGCAGTCGTTAGCACCCACTAAATAGAGATTCTATTTCTATTTTGTTGGTAGATTTTCTTAATGTGCGGTAAACACAAAAGTAACGCATGAAGTAGGTCGCTAAAGCGACCAACTTCATGCTGTTAAAATTTTGTGTTACAGTGATGCGCGCGCATCTTAAAATTTCACTCTCATCATTTTTTCATAACGCGCCTAAAGAAGTATAACTTCAAAAATACGTGTCCATTATTTTTTGATCATCTAACTGACGGACTAAATAGAATTTCGTTTACTGTACCGCGTCATCACCCCTATTATTTTGTATCATCATCTATTCAGAAGAAAAAGTACCTTATGCCGCCTTGGTCGTCTTTAGATTGCAATCTTGCGAAATGCTTCAAGACTTCTACGTTCAGATTGTAAGTATTATAAGTATGTACTCACTCATTCCTCTATCCTGCTCGCGGAGGAAGCGGAGTCCTGTTCACTATCACTGGACCACTCCCCCTCGCTGTATTCCCTATCTTCCTTCTTCTTCTTCTTATCTTTACTCTTCCCTTCTGCATCGTCGGTGGAGTCGCGTCTACCGAGGCTTTGCTGCGTGCCTTCATATGTAAGAGAATTACGAAATTATTCATTAACTAGCAAACCAGTGAACCAAATGTTCACCAAAACCTGATTTCTCGAAAACCGGAAGTGCTACGTTACTCAAATCCGGTTTGTAGTCTTATCAGACTATTCTTAACTTATAACTTAAACATTCTCTTTATCTATCTCTTACGGTTTGGCCGCTGAAACAGCACCACGGACGGACGGACGGAATTGTCTATTAGATAAGAGATTGAGTCAAGTTATACATAACTGAAAAAAAAATGTGTGCACGGACCAAACATCCGAAGAGAAACTTCTTTTTCTTAAATAAACTAACATTAGGCGCTGTGCAAGGCATAGGGGAATATAAATAGTTTGTATAAAACTATATCAATCAAGTCATGCATCCATACTCTTTTTCTCTGTCACCATGATAAAGCATATAAAAGTAATATTTTTTCCACATCAGTCTGAATCACTCGACATCTCCATAACAAACAAACTTTTCACACTCTGCTATCGATCTTCACTACGCTTTGGCGAATAGTACGTTACGTTAAGGAGCGTTGGGCTAATTTAGACAATAGGGATGATGACTAATTTTTTTTTCTTCGTTTGTCAGGTAGATTATCAAAAAGTATTGGACACCTATTTTTTCTTTTTCCACATAATATAAACATTGCAGAGATATATTGATTTGAAAAGTCGCATGACGTCACTTTTGAGTACACTTATAAGTGAAAATTCACTCAAAAGTGACGTCACGAGCCCCTACTCCCAAACTTTGATGCGCTATAACTTTGCCATTTTTTGGTTGATTGCCCAAAGAAAAAATTCGTGTCCATCATTATTTGATCATCTAACTGACGAACTAAATAGAATTTCGTTTACTGTACCCCGTCATCACCCCTATTTGTGTCACATGAAAAGAGCGCGACGTTAAATCGCTACTACGCAGCGCTAAGTACGCGTTCTGTTTGACGAAGCCTTTAACTATCCAGCGATATTTGCATGTAAATAGAATTTGGGCGTAAGGCCAAGTTATTCGCAAAAACTTTCGTCTGTATGATGAGGTCAGTATTCTATTAGGCGGGCAATATGATGCAAATAATATGAGCTATATACCTTCGTCGATGTCCTGGACCAGTTCCTTAGTGGGTGAAGAGTTCCTCAACTCCTTGAGCGTGCTGGTGAGGTCGATGTTAAGTGGTTGGTCCACTTCCTCCTCGCCGACTTCTGTGTCCCTCCTTCTGCGCTTTTTGCTTTTGCTGCTGTGCTTCTTGTCCTTCTTTCGTCTTCTTCTTTTACTATGGAAGATTTTTTAGTATTAAATAAAACTGAAGAAAAAATTAAGTAATTTATTACTAGAAAAATATCCAGTTCTGGGTTTCTGACAAGATTTGATCTGGCAGCTTTCGCTCTTGAAAAGATTTTATTTATATTGTCACAAACGCTCTCAGAGGAGCTCGATGGCGCAACTGGTAAGCGCATTCGGCTGCGATCGTTGGAGTTAAGCAACTTTCGCAGTGGTCGGTCATTGGATGGGTGACCAAAAATTGACTATATCGAGCTCCTCCGTGCTTCGGAAGGCACGTTAAGCCGTTGGTCCCGGTTGCATCTGCAGTCGTTAGCACCCACCAATCCACACTGGGCCCGCGTGGTGGGTCATGGCCCAATCTCCCTATTCCATCCATAGGGAAGGCCTGTGCCCCAGCAGTGGGGACATTCATAGGCTGATGATGAAACGCTCTCATACCAAAACTGCGAACATATTGGAAATAGATTTAACCAAAATTGAACAGTTTTGAATGAGCTCGATGAAGGCCAAATGCAGCGGGTCATTCTAATATGAACCTTATGCAGTGCGGCGTAAGGATGAAAGTGCATCGACACCTACACTTGTTTAAAACTCATGCGCGTTACCTACGTATAACTAGGTACTACATACTCTCCGGTCCTAGCCACCTCTCAATTTCACTGGACTTTAAATCTAAAGAAAATATAACTAGAAAAAAATCCACGTGGACCAGGCAGCAGACGGGACTCGAACCCGCACCCTTCGCAATCCGGGCGAATGCACTGATCAATTATGCTACCACGGCCCTCACGGACCGCGTCGAAATTCTTCTAGCCATTCTTAAGCTGCAAGGCAGCGCCATCTCTTCGCATTATAGGTAACCTACAATGTCAAATGAATACTTTTACAAGTATTAAACATTTGAAAGAAGAAATAGCAATTATAGTTTTTTTTAAGCATGTAACTGCTTGATGTTTAAATCTAAACTTCACTGGACTTTTCTGGAATATGTCGATTGGTGTTTTTAAGCGCAGGGGACAGTTTAATTAACAGTCGAGTTTCAAAAGCTATTTCGGAACGAATAAACGTGTTCAAAGTGCAATTAAAGTGTCAAAGTGTGATTGTTTAAAAACTTTTATAGTGTGCAGTAAGTGTAATGAGGGCTATCGCGTATGAATCCGCCGCTAGAGGCGCTAGTATAGCGTGAGGTCTCCGAAATGTCAAATGTTATTGCTTGTTGGTTGACTACGCGGGTTTATTTCTTATTAAAATAATGTTGTGAATAATTGGTAACAATTAGGCTTAATTATGGCAAATATGAGTTATGTGGCAATGAATGTCAGTTATTAAAAATTTGAGCTTAGAAAAATGATTATGTTCCCATTTTTTCCGAATAAAACGGAACTGCGCGTCACTGTGGCATGGCCTATTATGTTTAGGATATGGTTATTTTGTGTTAAAATACGATCTAAATGTAACCTTTGATTTCATGTGCGTATTAATAAACTTTAAAAGTTACAATTTAGGACCTCACTCAACAGTGGCGCCATTTGGTGAGACAGAAAACGGTAGCCCTCATTGGCATTTCGAACCCCATCCCAACACGTAACAATATTTTATAAATATAGATCTCGTGTCAACGGAATTCTATTGCTGAGTCTCCGTTACTGATAAACAGACACTTGTAATCTTCAAGATGCGTGAATAATTAATATGCTGGCCGGAAGGTAAAGATGGTATGGCGGATAAATCTGCTGAATCAGCTATTTTTGCGTATAGACTCTAAATCAGTGTTTCCTAACCTTTCCAATACTGCTACCCCTGTAACCTATTAGGAAAACAGATTTTACCCCGAATTTAAAATGTTATCATCAGTCCAAGAAATTCCAATTTGGCCGCTACATCTTCGTCTCTACTAATGTCATCATCAGGAGAGAATCTCGCCCCGCTTCCCACACTCAGGACCCCGCGGGCTCACTAGCAAGAAGGACCGCATGCTCTATTTAGTACTATTATTTAGATTTGACCAAATAATTAGGTTCTTTGTTACCCCCAAAGTATGGCTGATTTACCCCCCGGAGGGGTAATTACCCCCAGGTTCTAAATAAACATCAGGTTAGGTGAATGGACTAGGAAATTTTGCTGACCGGCTGTTACAACGGCCTCTGTCATGTCTTCTTCACTAACAGTGCCAAGTCCCGCTTGGGACACATGCAAGAAGCACAGTATATTTGACTTCGAGTCATGGTTCTTTAAAAGCCTTAATAAAGTAGCTGTTAAGTTTTTAGTTGAGATAGTACAAGCTCGTTTTTGAAGTGAAACTTCTTAAGGCACGCTTGACTTGGGAGGTAAACTGGCGAATATGTTACGATTTCGCGTTACGATTAGTGTCATCGGTGACTCATCGGTAAACAATAAACAATATCCATCACAAAATACATGAATCTAGTGGTTGGTGGGTGATAACGGACTCAGTGCAGACTGGTGGGTGATAACGGACCCAGCGCGAATTGGTGGGTGACAATGGACCCAGTGCGGATTGGTGGGTGATAACGGACCCAGCGCAGATTGGTGGATGATAACGGACCCAGCGCGGATTGGTGAGTGATAACGGACCCATTGCGGATTGGTGGATGATAACGGACCCAGCGCGGATTGGTGAATAACGGATATATTGCGGATTGGTGGATGATAACGAACCCAGCGCGGATTGGTGGCCGATAACGGATCTAGCGCGGAATGATGGGTGACAATGGACCCAGTGCGGAATGGTGGGTGATAACGGAACCAGAGCGAATTGGTGGGTGATAACGGACCCATTGCGAATTGGTGGATGAAAACGGACCCAGTGCGGATTGGTGGGTGATAACGGATCCATTGCGGATTGGTGGATGATAACGGACCTTTTGCGGATTGGTGGATGATAACGGACTTAGTGCGGATTGGTGGGTGATAACGGACCCAGCGCGGAATGGCGGGTGACAATGGACCCAGTGCGGATTGGTGGGTGATAACGGACCCATTGCGGATTGGTGGATGATAACGGACCCAGTGCGGATTGGTGGGTGATAACGGACCCATTGCGGATTGGTGGATGATAACGGACCTATTGCGGATTGGTAGATGATAACGGACCTATTGCGGATAGGTGGGTGATAACGGACCCAGTGCGGATTGGTGGGTGATAACGGACCCAGCGCGGTTTGGTGGGTGATACCGGACCCATTGCGGATCGGTGAATGATAACGGACCCAGTGCGGATTGGTGGGTGATAACGGACCCATTGCCCATGATTTTCAGATGATTGCAGCTAAAGAAGTTTCACTTCAGTCTTGTGGTCATAAGCACACTCGCTTTTTTTTATTATTAAAATTTCCTGTTTAAAAAGTGAAAACAGACTTAATATGTGAATTTATATTGTGTTTATGATTTTATTTTTGAAGTTATACTTCTTTAGGCGCGTTTTAAAAAAATGATGAGAGTGAAATTTTTATATGCGCGCGCATCACTGTAACCCAAAAGTAACAGCATGAAGTTGGCCGCGGGCGCGTTATGAATGTTAGTGTCGTGGTTAATAATCCATCATTATTAGACATCTGTTCCAAAGGTACTTTGAACGATCCACGGAGCTCCATAAGCGCGTTGTCAAAAACAATGTTGCACGCTACTCGCCTCTGATCACTGTTTTCATATTTATAATATTTATCCACATGTTTCTAGTTTCTATATAGACACAACGTGTTTTAGTTACTTACAAGTGCTAATTACATATGGACTAATAACTTAAATTCAGTAGTGATTTTAATTGAATATTTATTTAATTTTTCAAATTAAAACTGAACTTAATTGACTGTGTTAACTATCCTTTTCCAGTCCTTTTATTATTTTATTGTAATTATTAATTATTTGCATGCAATTAAAAAATATTTTTAATGATGCTAAAGAAGTATAACTTCTCACGCGCGTACATAAGTTACACGCATCCATTTTTTTTTAAGCATTCAACTGCTAGATGTTTAAATCTAAAGAAAAGTTTACTAGAAAAAAATCTGCTCCCTGGTCCGCGTGGATATTTTTTTCTAGTAAACTTTTCTTTAGATTTGTGTTCTCTCACCCGTCATAGTCAGATTCCTCCTCTGAAGACCTGTGAGAAAACGATAATTATTATTATTAGACAAAGTTAGTGTGGTATTATAAAGATCACCAATCAACATCTACATGTATATTTAGTCAACTCGCTCCTCTTACACCGCGTTTACACAAAGGTATGGGCATGGTATAAGTGCGAACAAAAAATTAAGACATTGTATAGAATTTGTCAAATACATATATTATACTTTGGTGTAAACGGGGTATCATAGCTCAATATCGATTAGTCACTTATTGATTTTTCATAAATAACGATCGTATTTTACCTATTTACAACAGTACTAGCAAACCAGTGAAATGTTCACTAAAATCTGATTTAAAAAAAAAATGTATTTAATTAATTGAGAACTTCGGAGATTTTGTGTGATTTCGTTTGAAATTCGTGATTTCTCGAAAACCGGAAGTGCTACGTTACTCAAATCCGGTTTGTAGTCTTATCAGACTATTCTTAACTTATAACTTAAATATTCTCTTTATCTATCTCTTACGGTTTGGCCGCTGAAACAGCACCACAGACGGACGGACGGACTTGTCTAATAGATAAGAGATGACAAATAACATACCTTCTCCGTCGTTTGCTCTTCCTGTGTGAACGCTCTGAACCATTCTCGTATTCTGCAAAAGGAATAAAAATAAGAGCAGCCATAAACACTTACACCAGAGACAATATAGAAAAAAATGTTTACAGAGCCCAGCATTTGTGCGCAGCACAAATAGTGCCAATTGAACTTAATCGTTATCAAAAATTATCGGCGGTCTGTCTGTCAGAGAGTACTCATATGTAGCTCATGGATAATCATGATAAGTTATTAGTCCTTTTGACACTTTGCGCGTGTGACAGTGACCACGCGGGCCCAGTTCGGATTGGCGGGTGCTAACGACTGCAGAAGCAGCCGGGACAAACGGCTTAAAGTGCCTTCCGAAGCACGGAGGCACTCGAGATAAAAGATTTTTTGATCACCCATCCAATGACCGACCACTGCGAACGCTAACCACCTGCGCCATCGAGCTCCTCGATCGGGATAATATTAGTATTAGTATTAGTTAGGGCATAATATTTAAATAAATCATGATTTTATTGACGTTGTAACAACATAATGATTTGTAAATGTTGTTACATTATGCTTTTAATGTTGTGGAGTTTTTTTCGCTCGTTTTTGCTCCGCAGCTAAAAAATATGTCCAATAACGAGTGGTAGGGATAAAAATGTTTGGACGATTCAAAAGTGTTGTACTATACATCCAATTTGAATAAAGATATATTGATTTCTGATTAAAATATGTCTTTGAAAGTTGACTAAAGTCATGTTTTTATTTATTTTTTTGGCATTTAACTGCTAGATGTTTAAATCTAAAGAAAAGTTTACTAGAAAAAAAATTTTATCATCTAGCAGTTAAATGCTTAAAAAATAAATAAAAACATAACTATAATTGCTATTTCTTCTTTCAAATGTTTAATACGTGAAAAAGTATTCATTTGACATTGTGGGTTACCTACAATGCGAAGAGATGGCGCTGCCTTGCAGCTTAAGGCTAGGAAAATTTCGACGCGGCGAATAGGGCCGTGGTAGCATAATGGTCAGTGCATTCGCCCGGATTGCGAAAGGCGCGGGTTCGAGTCCCGTCCGCTGCCTGGTCCGCGTGGATTTTTTTCTAGTAAACTTTTCTTTTGACTAAAGTCGTTACCGTAACGGTGTCGGTGACGTCGTTTTTCCCGTTTCCTCCGCTTCTCCTCCTCTTCCTCTTTCTTCTTCCTCAGCGACTCCAGGGTGTCCACCTGTTCGACAACATACAAATAAGGAATCACATCATCATCTTCCCTATGGATGGAATACGGAAATTGGGCCATGACACACCACGCGGGCCCAGCGCGGATTGGTGGGAGCTAACGACTGGTTTCTCAGGTAACTCAAAATTCACGGTTTATTGTTTTAAACTGCTCTATTTAGCAATAGTGTTTATTGGGATGGCTACTAAAAATTTTAACAAAATACCCAATAATATAAAGAGTTTGCCTATTTTTAAGAAACGCTTAATGAAACTTAATTGATAAAGTATATTATCTTTATATATATAATTCTTCTGTGAGTGTGTATGTCACTGAACTTCTCTTAAACGACTGGACCGATTTTGATGAAATTTTTTGTGTGTGTTCAATTGGATCTGAGAATGGTTTAGATTCACAATTTTGTCCGCTGGACAACCCCTATTTTTTTAGGGCGGTACGAAGTTCGCTGGGTCAGCTAGTATTATAATAATACACAAGAGTTCCTTAGTAAAACTTCCTTGGAAGAAATGGACATAAAACCCAATTAACTTATACTTTAGTCTAATAAAGCACAATTTTTATTATTATTGCTTAGTAATTTTGACATAAACATATTTTGACATTTATTTCTAACTATTGATGTTTTTGATTGATTCTTTGATTGTAATTGTAATATAATAATTTTGATTTTTATATGATTCAAAACCTGATTGTTTCATAAAAAATATTGTATACCTTGTGATAAGGTCGAAATGTAGTGACACTAAACTTTTTACCTAATAGGTTTCATGAAACATCAAATGAAGTACTAGTAATCTTCGACCGCTTTATTTGCTAATGTTATGTTTATATTTATCGGGACGAGTGCTAGTATTAAAATGATACACATAAGTTAGATTACAATTATAAATAAATAAATAATAAATAAATATTTCCGACACTCACACCAATTAGCCTAGCCCCAAAGTAAGCACTATAAGGCTTGTGTTATGGGTTGCTAGGGTAACGGATAGAATACATATACTGTACATATATAAGTATATTTATATAAATACATATTAAACATCCATGACTGGAGTACAAATGCTCGTATTCATCACACAAACATCTGCCCCCACCGGGATTCGAACCCGGGACCTCTCGAGTCGGCGACAGTCATGAAACCCGGCGTACAAACCACTCGGCCACGGAGGTCGTCCAGTTATATTATACTGACCATGGCACTGGCTAGTGAGGTAGCAGGCAGGGTAGCAGCTGTAGGATCTACCCCCACCTTCTTGAGGAACTCTGCAGCTCGCCGTCGCCTCTCCTGCTGCTTGCTTCTATCCAATTCTGAGTCTACCTCGCCTGTGAGGAAATACGAAACGATACATAAATGGCTAAGAACCACTAACTTCTAAGGCTACTAATGAGGACCCGTGAAGATTTTATTTGAGAATGCAGATTTATTGAGCACGGGATTTCATAAAATACAGTGGTTAAATTTTTGTTGTACGACAAAAAATTACGAAGTTATGATCAAATTACTGTACGAATTTTCGGCTGGCCGCATGGTGGCTGTGACGTCACAATGCTCTAGTGCTAGGGCGCGAGCTTGCGTAGAGACACTACTGAAGTTCGACCGAGTGAACCACGATCGAGCTCTGTGACGTCACACGTTTCGGCCGCCTGTGAATATTGGCTACCATAAAATTAGTTATAAAAACGCAATGACTGAACCGATTTCGTTGATTTAAAAAGTATATTAATTAAAAATCTTAATAGATTATTATACTGTTGAACCTCATTATCGTAAGTTGACGGTGATGCTAAAAATATGAAATATAATGTTGACTAACAACAATGTTAGGAGCGTGATTTTGTCACATATCAGTTTTCATTAATGTTTATTTATAAATAATTTAACAAAAACAAATTACAATATACATAATAAGTAAGTACCTTTTGAATCCGACTGGTCACCGGTCAAATCAATCAAATCCTCAGGATTATCCACCAACGAAATGATTTCATCCTCAACTTTAGCCTTGCTGTCACTGCGTCTCTTCTTAGCTCTCTCTGCTTCTTTCTCTCTCCTCTTCTCTCTATCAGCACTTCTCTTCTCAGACCTGTGAGACTCGCTCACTTCAGATTTAGACCTGTACTCTTTCTTCCTCTCTTTGTATCTTCTTTTCTCTTTTACTGGACTCTCTGGGACTCTTTTCTTTTCAGCCGCTGCAACAGCTTGTGGTTTAGTGTATTCTTCAACAACAGGTGCAGCTTTGAGTTCAGGTGTGACAGCTTTTGGGATTTCTTTTATTTCCGGTTCAGGTTTGGGTATTGGTTTGACTATTTCTACTGTAGGAGTTATGGGTTCCGGAGTAGGGTTTTCTATTTTGTAAACAACTACAGGTGGGACTTCAACTGCTGGGAATGTTTGAGGCACTACTGGTTTGGGAGTCTCTTTGGTCTCTTCGGCTTTCTCCTGTTTGTCCGATTCGTCGTCTGAGCTTGACTCGTATGGTAAGGCTGGTTTTGGTAATATAGGATCGGGCTCTTTGAGTTTCTTGATCGAGAAGGAGACTGGTGCTGCTAAAATTATAAAAAAGGTGATTTAATATAAGATTAAGCGTTTTCTATTAAAAGTAACGAGTTCTAATACTTGGCACTTGAGATTATACTATTAATATGATAAAATGCAAGTTAATAATAATACAAGGTCTGAGTGCCAACTTCTGTATGAAGACGATAATACTATAATAGGGGAAAATATGGTTTTCTATTCATATTGGCTTCTGACTAGATATTAATATTTACCCAACCATTGTCAAATATGGTATCGTCAAGATGTTGGTAAGGATGATAATTATTTTGTTATAAATTTATCTATTTCATATTTTTGATAATCTAAACTCACCCTGATAGTATAGCTTAACCTTGAAGCCCAAGCAGGAATTTTGGGATTTTCACGAGCGCGGCAGATTTTTTTTATAGCCTGCTAATGACTCTACCCTATCTGATGTTAAGTGGTGATAGAGTCCAAACGCGAAGATAGCTGGTACAGCAGCAATAAACTGCCACACCAACCATCCTCACCTTGCCTTTGAATCCTAAAGTCATTCTTATTGAGACAATTAAATTAAGTAAACGAGTTTATTTCTATGAAAATTAAGTCGATTTTGCAACACACTCACCTGAAGACTTATTCTTCCCCTGTTTCGCAGTACCATTGACATCGATGCCTCGTTTCTGCTGCATCAACTTCTTGTAATACGGATGATAAACGTTAGCGGGCTCTAAGAACGTGAACCGAGGGTCGTTTTTCGCTCGCACTATGTCGGCGAACTCGTCGCCATTTCGCGCGACATACGCGGCCATCTTGTCTATGACTACTTGCACATCTTCCGGCGGATCTAAGATGGTGGGAGTCTCCGGCGATGAAGCGTCATCGGAATCTATATATAACAGAAGTAAGTTTTATTTATTTATTTATTTATTAGAAAACACATACAGCTATTTTTACAGGAATACTCCTAATGCAATAGTGTAGTTCTTAAAATTACAATTACTAAAATAAACATAATTGTATTAAAAAAAGACAATAAAAAATAATTCCATTTTGTTACAAACTTACAAATTAACATAACATAGTGTACATACATATTTAAATAAAAGTTTGTGACAAGTCCAACTTTTAACGCTTATAAATAAACTTCCAATCGTAAAGTGAATGAAAATCGTATAGGCTGTAGATACTAAAACGGACAATATATTGTAGGAAGGCCAAAGTGGAAAATCTTCCTCCGGGCCGCGGCCCATTCACGTCGGGGTCACCAGTGCAGGATGGGGTATGAAGATTGTTGGCTGCGCTGCGATTTATTGCTGCTGTACTCAGTCTAGGGTCACCAGTGTAGGAAGGCCAAAGGGGCTCTTCTTCCGAGCTGGGTAATGGTAGCTCGGGGAATCAAAACAGATAAAGGGAGGTCATTCAACTTTACGTTAATTTATCTTTGAAGAATACATTTATTATGGCTACTATTTTTCTGTAAATCTATATATATAAAACTCAAAGGTACTGACATAGTGATCTATCAACGCACAGCCCAAACCTTTGGACGGATCGGGCTGAAATTTGGCATGCAGGTAGATGTTATAACGTAGGCATCCGCTAAGAAAGGATTTTGATCAATTCTACCCCCAAGAGGATAAAATAGGGAATGAAAGTTTGTATGAAACTTTGTCAATTTTAAACCGATCGGGCTGAGACTTTGCATGCAGGTATTAGAAGAATCATAGATGAATGTCATTGTGTATAATACAAGCCTGAGAACAAAAACTTTAGCTCTACACCGAAGCGAAGCGAAGGTGGCCCGCTAGTTAACAATAAGACTAATATTTTAATATTTTCTTTTATTGATTGTTACCAGATGCATCAGTATCCGAGTCGGTGTTGTAGTTCTTCATCAAACTAAGCCCAGTAGAGGTGCGCGGGGGGTCGTTGACCGCTGGTGCGACTGGTTGTACAACCGGTTGTGTGATTGGTTGAACGACTGATGGCGTCTGCGCAGGATTCTGATTGTAGTAGGCCGCGTACTGATGATATTGCGCGGTCAGGGATTGTTCTGTGACTGCTGGAAGAAGAAACATAGTTATACTTGAATTTTGCAATTAAAAAATAAAAGTCCAAAAAGAAACGGTGTAAGGAGAGGAGCTGCCCCCCCCCCCCCCCCATCCCGGCTACAGTTAAATCTATGAAATATTATAAAATCTACAGATGATGATTTCTTGTTGTACCCATGGACAAAGGTATATAAGTACATTACTGTTAAAATTACTATCAAAATAATATTCTTTCTTATATATACTAATAATGCCATCTGTTGTCAACTATTAGCATCTCTTGATAATTGTCTATTGTCTCTGTATTAAGAAAATAAAAGTTTAGTCTTTGAACAACCTCCCGGCGTGTTTTATTAGGTTATGGGCCCAGTCCCATTTTTTCCTAATTAATTCGCGATAAAACAGTTAAATTGTGTCAGAAAAGTAAAAAATGTCGACGTCGGGCTACCTAGTCAATGTGCCAAAGCTCAAAGGTCGCGAAAACTACGACGATTGGGCGTTCGCGACAAGCAATTTTTTGCTACTCGAGGGAATTGACTTGGAGAACCTACCAGCGGAAATAAGTGGAGCTGAGATGAAGAAAGCCAAAGCCAAACTCGTGATGACTATTGATTCTTCATTATACGCGCATATCAAGAGTGAGACTACAGTGAGTGGTGTATGGAATAAATTGAAACAATTGTTCGATGACACAGGATATCAACGAAAAATCAGTTTGCTTCGAACGTTAATTTCAATCCGCCTTGAAAACTGCGATTCCATGACAACCTACGTGTCTCAAGTAGTTGAAACAGCGCAAAAATTGAAGGGGACAGGTTTCGAAATCACAGATGAGTGGATTGGATCGTTGCTGTTGGCGGGACTTCCAGATAAGTTTTCACCTATGATAATGGCGATCGAACATTCTGGCATCGCCATTAGCGCTGACGTCATTAAGACAAAGTTACTCGACATGTGTGAGGAGGTTGGCACTACTGTAACGGACTCTGCATTTTGGTCAAAACAACAGCGGTGGAAAAGTGGCAACACTAACCGCGGTGTCAAATCGCAAACGTCAAAGTCAAATAGTGACAGTGCAAATGCAAATAAAAACTGCAGTAAAGAAATAAAATGCTACAATTGCAAGAAAATAGGCCATTTTAAGAACAAATGTCCAGAACTAAAAACAAAGAGGACTTTAAATGCTTTTAGTGCTGCATTTTTCAACGGACATTTTAGTACAGAAGACTGGTACGTCGATTCGGGTGCAAGCGCACACATGACGGCAAATCGAGATTGTTTACTGCTAAATAGACCCGTGCATGTATACAAAGAAATAGTAGTCGCAAATCAAATGACTGTACCTGTTGTAAGTGTTGGTGAAACACAGATAACGACGAATGTAAATGGATCTCGGCATGATGTCATTGTGAAGAATGTTTTGTACATACCGAAGCTCACAACAAACTTACTATCAGTCAGCCAGTTAATAGCTAATGGCAACAGAGTAACTTTCAAGAAGAAAGTCTGTTTGATATATAACCAAGTAAATGAGCTAATAGGAGTTGCAAACTTAACAAATGGTGTGTACAAGCTACAAATACAAAGACTAGAGAGCGCATTATCGGCCATGACAATGTGGCATAGAAGGCTAGGACATGTAAACAGCAAGTCTCTAGAAAAGATGAAAGAAGGTGCCGTGGAAGGGGTTACTTTTGACAAGAAAGCTGACATTCGAATCCAGAACTGTGAAGTGTGCTGTGAGGGAAAACAGACACGTTTTCCTTTCCCATCTGCTAATCATAGAAGTGATATAATACTGGATGTGATACACTCAGATTTATGCGGGCCGATGGAGACCAAATCGATTGGTCAAGCAAAGTACTTTCTTCTGTTCATAGATGATGCCAGCAGAATGACTTATGTCTATTTCTTAAAGGAGAAGAACCAGGTATTCCAGCATTTCAAAGAATTTCGAGTTTTGGTGGAAAATCAAACGGGAAACAAGATAAAAGTATTGAGAACTGACAATGGGGGTGAGTTTTGTTCACAACAGATGGAACATTTCTTAAAACAAACAGGAATCATCCATCAGAAGACCAATCCTCACACTCCACAACAGAATGGACTCTCAGAAAGGTTCAACAGAACTGTAGTTGAACGGGCTAGATGTTTATTGTTTGAATCAGATCTCGAGAAAAGTTTTTGGGGTGAAGCAGTAAACACTGCAGTATATCTCATGAACAGAACGCCAGCTGCCAGCTTAGGCATGATGACACCATTCGAGAAGTGGACAGGCAGGAAGCCAGACTTGAGCCATGTCAGAATATTCGGAAGTAAAGTAATGGTGCATGTTCCCAAAGTGCAAAGACAAAAATGGGATAAGAAAGCTGACAAATTAATCCTAGTTGGTTATCCTGATAACGTGAAAGGTTACAGAATATATAACCCCAAAACTAGGAAGATAACTACGAGCAGGGATGTCATTATAATAGAGAAAGAATACTCTGACACAGCTCAGGTAGTAGTAAATAGTGAAGAAAAAACATCAGAAAATAAAGAAGAAATGTTAAAGAAAGTTGAAAACTCAGAGAAAGAGGGAAGTGTGTCAGAAAATTCAGCGATAGATGCTAACGATCCTACATATATCTATAACTCATCAAGTTCCCACGAAGATTCATATCAATCTGTGTATGAAAGTGATAATGAGTCAACCTTAGAATCTATTTTAGAAGAAAATGCTCAAAACTCAGAGGAGCTTGGTAAGCGCAAGAGAAAGCCAGTAGAAAGATTCGGCTATTCCAATCTCTGCATTGTAGATGAGCTGGAATCATGTGGTGAAGAACTGAGCTATGGAACAGCAATGAATGGACCAGAGAAGGAACTATGGGAACAGGCGATGACAGAAGAACTAAAGGCTTTTGAAGATAATAAAGCATGGGAATTCGTTGACAGAAAAGAAGCTGATAGAGTAGTGCAGTGTAAGTGGGTTTTTAAGAAAAAGCTCGAAAGTGATAATAAAGTGCGTTATAGGGCTAGACTGGTCGCGAAAGGCTTTACGCAAAAAGAAGGTGTGGATTATACAGAGACATACTCACCAGTGCTACGTTACTCTACATTAAGACTTTTATTTGCTTTAAGTGTAAAACTTAACTTAAAAATAACTCATTTGGATGTCACTACAGCTTTCCTAAATGGGGACCTGAACGAAAATGTATACATGCAAGCTCCTCCTAACTTAAATTGTGACAAAAATTTTGTACTTAAGTTAAAACGAGCAATTTATGGTCTAAAACAATCAGCCAGGGCTTGGAATATAAAAGCAAATGATTGTTTGATAAAATCCAACTTTGTCAAGTCAAAATTAGAACCATGTTTATATGTAAAAAGGTGTAAAAAGGACCTGATTATTATAGCAATTTTCGTAGATGATTTTTTCATTTTTTCTAATTGTGATGACATGGTAAGTGAGATTAAAATTGAACTAATGCAAAAATTTAAAATTAAAGATTTAGGGCAGTTAAAACAATGTTTAGGCATAAGAATAAAAGTGTATGAGAATGGTTGTATTTCTTTAGATCAAAAACATTTTGTAGATCATATTTTAAGTAAATTTAATATGACAAATTGTAATAGTGTTGATACTCCCATTGAGAGCAATTTAAAGCTAGAAAAAGGTGTTGAAGTTTGCAAACAATATCCTTACCAACAATTATTAGGAAGCTTGATGTACTTAAGTGTTTTAACTCGTCCAGACATTTCATATAGTGTAAGTTTTTTGAGTCAATTTAATAATTGTTATGCACTCACGCATTGGAGGCATGCAAAGCGAATTTTAAAATATTTAAGTAAAACTAAATCTTATGGGCTAATGTTTAGTAAAGATGATTGTAACTTAGAAGGTTTTGTTGATGCGGACTGGGCCTCAAATACTTTAGATAGGAAATCTTATACAGGTTTTTACTTTAAGTTCTCAGGATCTGTTATCTCCTACGAATGTAAGAAACAACAGACTGTAGCCTTGTCCAGTACAGAGGCCGAATATATGGCGATAACAGAAGCTTGTAAAGAGGCTATATATTTGAGAAACTTGTTGAATGAGATTGTTGATTTTTGTAACTATACAATAACTTTGTTTAATGATAATCAGGGGGCTCAGAAGTTGACAGAGAATCCATTGTTCCATAAAAGAACCAAACACATTGATGTGCGTCATCATTTTGTTAGAGAAGCAGTCGCTAAAAAACATGTAAAGATAGTTTATCTGCCAACATCTGAAATGCCTGCAGACCTGCTGACAAAAGGCTTGAGTAGTGTCAAACATAACAATTTTGTTAAGAAGCTAGGTATGCATATTATTGTGTGATCTGGATATATATATATATATGTAAATGAGGTTCATTACCCTTCATTCAATACAGACGGTAAAATAGTGAGTGACCATAGAAAAAGATATGGTTTTGACATCCGTCAATTAATAAATAAAATATAATATTTGTGCACGAAAAATTGTACGAAATAATAGCTATAAATGTTGTTTCTCATTTCTGAGCAACACAATTGTTTTATTTCGTAATTAAATCTATTAAGTTTATAAAACCTCATTATAAAACAACATTTTCTACAGCTATTTTACTACAATGGAAAAGTTAAAGTTTGAGTTTGTAGTGAAAGCAAGTGAGGATCCGAAAACCAATACAATCTGCATAATATCAATCACTGACACCAACAAATGCACCTTCTTACTACCGGAACATTTTCAACAGGCAAGATTGCATGATGCGGTAATAAAAACTCCAACTTTTCAAAAAGTAAAAACTACACTACAAAAGAGACATGAAAAAAGACAGGTTTGGATCTCTATCACTCCAGAGATTCATGAAACCTACATAGATGAAGATGGAAACATGCAATTCGGAGGATATTTGTTACAAGAATTAACCCCAGAAACACAGGGTGCTACGGCTGGCATTACAGAAAAAGATTTTACAAGGATTATTGAAAGTTTTTCCGAAATGAAGAAGATTTCGCC